CCAAGTTCCAATATGTTGAAATACTGTTTGATTGGATTTAACCCATAAATTGTCTTTTAGTTTTCGACAATCTTTCTAGGACCAATAGTCAATAATAATTAATAAAGATTGTAAAAAAATTGTAAAATAATTGTAAAAAAATTGATAAGATCACCCAATGCATGTTTATCATTATAAGTATTGGTTGTTTTTAGGTATAATAGAATTTTTTGTTTGTTCAAATGTTCATGAAAATTTGATGTTCGTATGTTTCAATGAGTAGGTATACTATAAATCAAATAGTTTTTGAGTCTATAAGTCTTATAGCCTTATAGGTAGGTTTTTAGAAATATCAAATAAATTTAGAAAGTAATTTGAACCAAGTCCATCTCGGTAGAATCAGTTGACAATAAGATCAGGTACACTGATGCCAATTCATCCATGAAAGGGGTATACTAAAAATGAGATACACAAATATAGCACTGTGTTTTGTGTTAGTTCATTTTTTTTCGGATTGTCAAGTTATACAGCAGTATCAGGTATAATATGTGCAAGGAAAAGGGAAGAGTTTAACCTAATTACCATCGCCTGATAGTGAACTTGTTAATGAACAGTTATTTGTTTTTATTTTAGGTTATTTTGTATGCATCTAATCATCTAATGTATACATTTTTTTTCGTAACCCCCTCCGTGAAATAATTCTGTACATCGTACATGGACACAGGTARTATAATATAATAAATATACATGCATCATAAATTATAATGCATTAATGCTTATCATAAATAATTTACTCACTTTATCAATACCGCAAGCTTTTGTCTCTACTATTCCGTCCAACAACCAATCCCCAGGTTGATCGTTGTAAAATATAATGAAGTACTGAATTAGCGACGGTAAATCCGAACATCTAAACAATTTTCCTAAATGAAAATGTACATTGTATTACTATAGTGATTTAGGACTTTGTTACTGCCATGGGTTTTACCAATAAAACCAAGTTTCCCAAAGTCTAATATAAACCACTCTTGTTCGTTAGCTATCCTCTGCAAAGCTGTATTTTTCATAATAGTGTGGAACTGCGGCTTCACGATTATGTCATCTTCCATTTGAACATAAAAATGCCCTTTTGGTTGGCAGTACATCATTAAGAAAGCAAAATCCAAATTTTGTTTGCTCCTCCAGCTGACCCGGTTTTTAGGATCACCAAGCGTCAACCGAAGCTTGCTGAAATCTGGATAGTATTCTGGRGTTGGAGCAATTATGTCCACAAGACCCGAATTCACTTCTTCTGATAGCCTGAAGTCAAACATATTTCATCAACAGTAATATAAATTCTTAATTTATAATCAGCATCGTAAGTGATGGAAATAATTACCGATTTTTGATTTCCGTACTAACTTGTTGTATGTATTTCTGATCGGTCTGTAACAGTTTTCACAGTTTTAATACATCCGATACAAATATTATTATATTAATACATCGGTAACATTATTTATTATTTTATATTGAGTAATCACAAGTATACATTACTTCGCCAATCATTACTACTATCAACGAATCTTTCTGTTCGTTTAAATCCATATTGCTTATTATGTTAATTAATGTATGTATCAAGTAATTTTTTACTTGGCGACGAACAGTAGGAATTCCATACACCATAGACACTAAAATATTAAAATACATTTTAAGCCCATAAAATATTGACTGTTAAATTTTAGTTTTAATTATTATCATAATTTTGCCTGTTAGTTCACCATTCACAATCATTCAGTGTGTATGACTAAACAAATAAATTAGGTACCTGTTTTTCTGCCCCTGGATTGTAAAATCAATGGCTTCAAATAATCCTCTTGGGACCATAGTGGGGGTAAAAATGTAAACTTATCAAGATGTGTCTTCGACGRCCTTACCAATTCCACAAGTTTATAAGCACCCATTAAGGATTCCATTCCTTTAGAAACGGAAACATTCAACGACTTCACTATCGCTTCGAAAACCGGACCGAAATTCTCGATGTTCTTTATGCCTTTGTCATTCAGTTCATTCAATCTAGTTAAGCGTTCCATTTCCGCCTTCGTATATGTTGTYGCCGAACTGTAATCGTATGAATTTCTAGTACCTATACAATCATTAAGCAATAACGGCAATTACGCATTCGAATAAAAATACGAAAATCAAAAACTGTCAATAAATACAATAAAATAACATGTAAATATTCAAAATATATTCGTGATCAACATCCCCGACATGAATTGCACTTCTATTTTACGAATTTTCTCTCTATATTATAACTTTTTACTACAAGAAGAGCTTAATGGCTTAATCCCAATCAATTATAGTACCTATAGGCTTTTTGCTTTAATAAATACTATATATGTTACGGTAAAAGTACGAATACCGGTAAAACATAGGATATACAAAACAATTCGGTCAAACCCCAAATGATTTTTGTAGTTCAGACTTATACAACTGGATTCTGTAAATTTTAGGATAAACAACCAGCGTTGGTAAAATTCTGAAATCTGTACCAATTATGTATATTGTATATTATTACCTAGCTACTATTTACTAGTATATA